AAACAAAAGCTTCATTATGACTTTAGAGACTGCCGGGTAGGCAGAAGATGAAAAAGTCAAAAAAACTTTCACAGAAAGAAAATCACTTTTAATTCTTTCACTTGCAAATTGTCACCAACTTATAATGATTATTTATTTGTCGGTGTTCTGCTTGTGTAGTCTTATTTTTTTCGAGACATCTGAAGAAAATACTGCTATGAAGCAGAAAATTTCGACGACAGAATTTCTTATCAACAAAAAGTACCTTATTGCTGAAATTATATCAGTATTTGCTCACCACGTCTCAAACTATAATTACATGGTTGCTGCACTGAAAACAGCTAATGAGTTAGTGACTTTTAAAAGAGTTTGTTAACAACCAGGCAGCTAACGTCATTAGCTAAAGCAATTAAAGAAGAAAAATGCTAATATTATGCCACTCATTCCCATGAAAGCCACATGTTTGATTCTTTAACGGACTCCTACAATGAAAAAGGGGAAGGCTACTCAAACAAAGACAAAGCATCAATACTTCTTTTTATTCTCGCTGACAGGATGCAGAGGCTTACAGTGTGGTGTGTGTATAACACAACTTTATGGGAGTCCTGGTCAGTTAGAGTGCTGAGCTGTGTGGGATTACAGAGAGTTGGGTAAATCAAAAGTGGTCAGAGAGACCGACTGGTTGTAACACTTGTGTCCTGGATGGTGAGAATGAGCCGAGACCACAGTGTGGCTTTAACGTCCCGCAGACGTACCTCAAGCTTCTTGCCGTCTTCATCGTAAACCGACATGGTCACCTCAACGTTTTTGGGTGTCGTCTTACTCCCCTTGTCGAAATCCCCCTGAACCAAAGTCACGTAGATGTCGTTCCGGACATCACCTTAAGGAAAATTTTAAAAATGTGAAAAACCTTTACAGCTCAAAAGAAAAAAAAAGGGAGAAAGCTCTCAGACTAATGAAGCTAAATGGAAGCGTTGTTTAAAAAAAACCTACCTGGCATAATTATCTCAGGGAAGCCCATTTTTCGAGCTACAGCTGTAGATCGATCCACCAGGTGAGGGAAGTCCTTCCTTATCTGATGGATGTCTCCAGGAAGCAGCTTCAGAGTCACCCACAGGCCTTGGTGATGCAATCAAGAACAGAGATAACATAATGAGAGGACAGCACAAAAGAAGCAGCGCCCCGGGAAAACACTAAAAACAGATTTTTTTTCCTCTTGATTTCCACTGGCAGTTGTCAGAGTGAAACGTAATGGCTCTGGGGCGAGACACTAAATAGAACGTACCAGAAGGGATTTGATTAGGAAAGTATAATAACTCCGGACAGAAGTGTGTGTGTGTAGCTCTGGTGGAATTTTGGTGTGTGTATAACTACGTACGGACCTTTGTCGACCTCTGACAGCAGATGCCGTTTTGCTAAGAGTGACACCTGCCCTGCCGGCCGAGCCGGAGGCCGTTTGATACGTGAGCATGACTGAAACGGCTGCTCTCAGGACTCCACCGGCCCACTCCAACGAGGGGCGGAGCAGACCTGACATTTATACAAGTACATCTTTACTGAGCATGACAACGCTGCAGACAGTAATGTGGTGTATCCCCCCCACCCCCACCCCAGCAGACGGCCAAGACTGCTCCTCTAGGAGCCGAAGACAAATTATTAATGACGGTTTGCACTTTCAGAAGACCTACAGGCAGATTTCTGTGATTTTGTAGTCATGGAAACATGGGCGACTATTTTTGGTATGAACTGTAATTAAGAATGTAAGCACAAAGAATAAACATCATTTTTAATTGGAATTTAGGCAATTTTGTTGTTCCTCCAGTTGTATTCATCTTAAGGTGCTAATTTATGCTATTAGTGATATTTTTTTTGCTTGGAGAATCAAAAATGTGCCTTTTTGGTTGCTTGTTATAAATGCAGCAAAAAATATGGGGGCCAAAATAATTAATGTCGAATGGCGATCTCCACTCAGGCTGTTTTTAGAACACTGGTCACGTCCAGTCAACACCCGTGCACGTACAAACTCTGGTAGCAGCTCTATTGGTTTCAATCACAGTGTGCAGTTTGGCTGTGTTTAAACGTAATGAAAATCTGAAAAACAGTATGAAACTCTACTAAAAAGACCACAAAACATTGTGCTACCATACTTTTAACAATAACTCAGGATACAGCCATCATCCCCTCATGGAAAGAGGACTTTTTTGTCACTTTTTCCGAGCCAAGATGAAGGCCAACGGCTGAATTCCAGAGATGGGACGAGCCGAGTTTGACTGGAAAAAAAGAGATTAACATCTACTCCAAATTAGGGATGCAAGTTATTAATTAATGAATTAATTTAAAGTTGATTGACCTTATCGATCGACTGACAAATAATCATTATTAAACTTGGTATATTTATAAAATATAACAAAACWGAATATTACTCTATTAGGTTGTTCATTGAAAAAAATATGAAAATAAAATACGTGAAACACTTGATTCACTGTGAACAGAAAGATGTAAAACTACCACATAAACACAGGGTAACAAGATTAACCCAAAAACAAAGATAATAAAACACAATCAGCGCACTTGTTTGCATTCCATGTCTATCCAGGCCTGCCTGCTCTGCCCGATTTGAGGTCAGCTATTGTTGCTTGTGTGATTGGTTCACCGGCCACAGATACGAGTAACTTCACATGAATCATTTGAGCATAACCTCACATGTGGAGATCACCATTTAAAATGGCCTACAAAGAAAATTAACTTATTTGTTTAGTAATTAATCTTAAGCTAATATTTTGCAGTTGTGACCTCACAATCAATTCCTATCAAAAACATAAATAAAGGTGTTATCAATAAAATCTATTTTTTTAGTTCCTTTTAGTTTACAGGAGTTGAACATTATGACTTTATGATCCAGTACAGGTGTACAGTAATGTATTACTTGACAAGGGCTTTGTCCTTGGTCCATTGTTGTTTCTTTCTTTTTTTTAGCAGAAATAGTACAAAATCTTGAATCTAAGAGACACAACTTTTAGACAAACTGAGCAAACGCCAGCCCATCAYGGCACGAAAATGTGAGGAATATAAAATCTTAGTTCTTCTCCCTGTTTGTTTATATCACACACATAATCAAACGATTCAGCACCTTCCCAGGACATTGTGTAGAGATGTGCAGCATTACAAAATGTAGAGTTTTTAAAGCTTGGCAGCGATGTGTAAATTTTGTTTGCATCATTCGGTCCTTGTCACGCGCTGGTTTCAGCTTCAGCACGTCCTTGTTAAATTTAAAGCCATTCTCTTTCAGCAAATCACACCAGCTAAACAAAAGCAACTCAGCCTCACGTCACTCACAGATTCTACTTTGTGACGGCTATTTTAAGCCTCTATTCTGCCTGCATGACTTGGTGTTGAACATTCACACACAGGTRTGGAAACAGAAGAGGAGAGGGAAGCGGGGATTTGAACTGATCGCTGTGTGTTTGTATAATTTGTATGACTGCCACAGCTTTGCGCTAAAGATCGAAGGGGAACATGAAATTATAAATAGACACTTTTTAATGGGCCTTAACGATTCCTGATCTCCACAAGCATAAACATTGTGATTTTAGGAATATTCTGTTTAGCCTGATGCTAATGAAGCACCGTGGTGGATTTTGGGGGCAACTGAGAACATTCTTACTAAACATTAAAGGAGTCATATGACGCTTTTAAATACTTCTTTTTCACATTTAAATCATTCAGTTTGGCTCTATATTAAGTGGAACTGCAATGCTTTGGTCTGAATTCCTCCTTATTGATACTCCACAAGCCCCTCTTTCACCCCTTTTCTGGAGAGTGTCTCAAATCAACTCGTTTTGAGGCTGTTTCTTTAAATCCAAACAAGACGCTTCACCCCTACCCCCTCCAGCTTCCAGACCGGTCCACTCCAGTTTGATAGAGAGGGTTACGACTAATTAGCTGTGCAGAAATGTTCCGCAAATGTAATAGTTCAGAAAACGTCATAGAAAATAGAGAAAACTGAACGGGTTGCAAAATATGACGCAAACAGAATGTAACGATATGGAAGCAGCACCAGGAGAAACTAAATTAAACTTTTTCGCACTCCTAGAGACTCGAAGTACACAAACAACATATATTTAATAGATAAAAAAGTGGATTTTGCGTGATGTGTCACCTTTAAAGCATGTAATTCTTTGGATTCAGAAGGGATTTCTTAATCCTGGCTTTATTACATGTAATCATACAGTGTTAGCAAACAGATTAGCAACCTAATTAAGTTTAATGAAGTTTGGCAGCGGGGTGATGAGTTTCCTCGTTGGCCTCGCTCTCTGCGTGACACCCTACCTTGGCCTTTGTGATTGACTTCTTTGGCGGTGATAACTTTGTTGATGACTGTCTGGAGGAAGTCGTTCTCCCCCGCCACCCTGGGTGAAAAACGGGAGATGTTCAGCTGCTTGTGGCGAATGGCATCATCCAACGCTAGCCTGCAGTACGCACACAACATGCAAACACCACAGGGGCAAAGAAAGAAAAAAAAACGGTGGCAGAAACGGAAGTAGAGAGGGAGCAGAGCAGGAAAGGACGCACAATGATGGTCGTGAGGAGGGGAGTGAGATAAAAGGGAAAAAAAGTGTGTGGGAGAAAAGAGACACACCGAAGAGTGATGCAAACACTATGACAAAGACAAAAGCCACTTGTTAGCAGTTAAAAATGAGCAGGATGGGTAACAAAAGAGACAAACATCGTTATTTAGGAAAGGCCTGGTTAGAATCTAAAGAGCCACTCGATGGGTGAATAGCTCGACTCTCTGTTGGTCTTCAAGTGTTTCCACATTGTGAGACTTAAAATCTGAAGTGTCTGACAGATACTGTCACCATGCTTTGGTGGAGTAAAACTGAGTGGTTTGTACTTTCTAAGGCTTCATCTCTAGTAAGTAAACCATTTATTGAAGATGGTATTACAGATTGTAAATGGAAAGAAATGCAGATTGGCAGCTGTTACAAAAATGTACAGAGAAGATATACGCAAATCAGAATATCCTTACGTTCAGAAAAATTATTTGGTAGTGTTTAAATGAAGAGAACAGTTAGTAAATATACTGTATCATTTGGACTTTTTTGAGCTTTAGATCATGTTATYATGTAATTATCTCATCAAAATCATACCCAGAGTGTTGCTTTGACTCATTCATGCATGTTCGAGAAATCCTTCAATCTCCTGTGGTAACAATTCAGAGCTGCCTAAACGCTAGCTGGTACCAATCACCACCCATTTACACAAAACTCCTCCCTGGAGATCAGTTTGCTGCCAAGCCCAAAGAGCACTCCTCCCCTGCGCCTCCCCACACAGCTCCACCAGAATAGCAAAACCAACTCAAAAATGGTGGTTGTTCATGATTTCATTGCAAAATATAGCTTTATCATGATCCATATTAATAGTTTCTTGTTTAAAAGTTGTTGTGTATGTATGAGAGGAAGGCTGGGAAATATGTTACCCAGCAGAAACATCTTGTAAGAACCACTGCACGCGCTGTGGTTCTTCGGAAATTGCATTTTCGGGTCCGACGTGGGATGATTCGAGTGAGGTTCAACTGTATCCTGTTTTGCCATTTTCCAAAACTGACATGTAATGTGGCTTCTTTTTTTTTTTTACAACAAAACCCAATGCTCCTACGAAAGGTTGTAAACAGCATGAAGCACTGTTGTGAAGATGTGCTACAGTGGGAGTGTCAGAAATGGTAGGAGGTTCTAAAAGAGATAGAGGCCACCTTCAAGGCGTTTAGTTAGACTACGACGCAAAGTCAAATTTGTTTTTGATAAATACAACATTTTCATAACTTGACTGTGGTATAGACTTGAACTATGTGCCTGGAAAACACATAATACCCCTCAAAGGCTTGTGGGTGGGCAACCAATGCAGATGAACTATAAACTGGAATAAGTATTGTTCAGGAAAGCAACCAATTGTGTAAGACTTTAATCTTGAAAGTGCATTTCTATAAGCAGTTTTCCCACTTCAGATTGGATGACTGGAACCCAAAGTACCACACTGTGCGAAGTTCTCTATATGGTCCTTCCACTTATTGCTTTTACAGACTTTAATAACATAGGCAATACTGAATCATCAAACCACTTTGTTTTAAAAAAAACTTACTGAGTTTTTCAGCTGCTCATAATCACATTTGGACTTAAATAAGCCCTTGTACAACCAGTTCTCCTCCTCCTAATAAATGGCTCTAATTTCCATTACTTATACATGCAGATAAAACCTTTAAGTGAGGTGATCTGCCAGCTAAACTACTTGAATCTGAAGGATTTTCAATTATGCAGGAAATCGCATTAAGGAAAAAGGTTATTCTGACGTAAAAAAAAATGGTGGCAGGTAATAAAATTGCCTTAATTGAGTCATGAGGGAATAGGGAAGAACTACCATCTTACAATCCCTGCAAATGTGGTGCCAAAGGTTTTAAAGTTGGGGAATAAAAGATAAATAAAAAATGCTGTTAGTCAAGTTTTACATATTAAAAAAAGTGCAGAAAAACGGATGGCTATTATTTGTTTTGTGCTGCAGCACGATGCACTTACGGCTGAAACGGAATGAAGTGTTGCTTGTCCTCATCATCCATTTTGCCCGTTATGATGTCAGTGACATCCATTACTAAAAAAACAAAAAGAAGAGTGGATTAAAGCATAGCAGCACATGAAAATGACACAATGCAGCCACTAATTAAAGGGGTTCCCCAACATTTCCATGCCCGGGCAGCCCAAACCATATTAGCTTCTGGCAAGTGACCCTCTTCTCTTGCAAACCCACTAAGAATGCTTCAAAATATTTAAAGAAACATCAACTTATATAATGTTTTTTCTTACTTTAAATCTCTATTCAATTTTGTTTAACATAAGAATTTTATTAACATGTTTTAAATACTGTACTATAATCTCACAGAAAAAACTACTTTTCAACAAACTTGACGATASAAACAGGACAAAAGAAATCAAACCTCTCTTAAATCGCTATAAATTAGATTTTAAAATATGATTAAAAACAGAATCGATTTTATGATAATTATTAAAACCATTTATTGGATTTTTTTTCTTTTTTCTTTTTGTTCTTATCTTCCCTCTGGCTTTCTGAAGCCCAGACTTTTAAAAAAACTGGGTAAAACTATCAGAAATTTAAAAAAAAAAGAGCTGCACATGGAAAAGAGGTAAAGCAGCCCCAGCTTTTCTTTGATGAGCACTAATTAAAGCAGGAGCTGATAAACAAGCGACAAAAAATTAAAATAAGTTTGAAATAAAATCATGATGAAAATCTGCTTGCAGCTACAAGTAATTTTTGAATTCGTGCCAATACATTGTAAAGAAAGAAAAAGGCTATCCAACCCTAGAACACTTATTATTCTTATGGTATAGAGCTAAAAACAGAGCGATTCAGGGATTTTTTTCTCCTATTCCAAAATATTTATTATGGCTGTGTAAAAGAGCTCTCTGTAGCTTACAGAGGAACAGGAAGTACAGTCTTGTTTTGTCCCTTGCATAGGTTACGAGTGACATGAATGAAAAATGGTGCCAGAGCGGCTTCACATATATTCTGTTACACTTCAGGCTAGGAGTCCAGCATATAAAGACCTTTAGACTGTTTGTAAAGGTTAGTAAATCTAAAACAAAAATAAAAGGCTGCTCTTCATGCTGTGACACTTCGGATGTCTAAGGCTAGGCCACAATAAATTAGCTTGTCACTTACCTTCTTTTTAAGTGACAATAAAAAGGGGGTGGACTCTGGAGTTTTCTCTGTTAGATAATTTTAGGCAAAGTGCCAATCTAATTAGTTTACAATATGCCTGGAAGCTTGCCAGCAGCAGATAAATCAAACTAACACTTCCCTCTGCTTTAGCTAGATTTTTCTGAGTTTTAGCCAAAAAAAAAAAAAAAAGAGGAGGTCGTGCTCGCGATGCGGGCGCAAATCTTCCTCAGTCCGGTCACGCTCCGCTCCCCACATTTTAAGAACGGCGTTTGACTATATTTTTAACGTTTGCTCGAAACAAAAACAAGAAAAACAAACTGCCTTTTTCAGCTCTACACCTGAGTTTTGTTACTTTAAATTCACTAACAAATCCCAGATTTACGACAAACTAGTTGTATTTTTTTTCCAAACTTTCTCTGCTCAGAAACTGGTCCAAATAAGTGTCAGGAAACAAGAGCTCTGGTCTGATTTGAATGTCCTAAGGCTGCATAGTTTTTGGTAGGTAAGTTAGAAGTTTCCTGGCATCCTGTGGTCAAGCAGTCACAAGGGTAAATAACCTCTATACTTGCTTTGATTTGTAAAAAAAAAAAAAAAAAAAAAAAAAAA